TGCTCCAGAGCGAAAAATGCTATGGTATCTTGAATGAGCTGAACTGACACACTTTGCTATCTCACTGCCCACTGGCAGGGGAGTTCAGCAAGGAGGAAACCTCCAGAGATGCTGTGGTTCTGCTGCTCTCTCCCTGGTTCTCAGAAACACTCTTCAAATAAAGGGGGAGATTCCTGAAAACATAAGGATAAGCATATTTCAAAATGCAAAACTCTGAAATTAAATGAATAATCTCTTTATGCCAGTTTTAGATTATTGCCAACTAGTTAGCTGCTGGTGCAAAAATCACAGGAAATGTCACTAAGAACAAAACCACAAATGATGTACGTAAAATGATACAGCTAAAGACAGGACCTGGATAGCTCTAATGCTATATACCAGTCGTGCATTTTCAAAAAACATAGGGCTGCTATGTATTTTCATTCCTGTGACAGTATATGGTATGTTTACTCTTCATTCCTCAGATACTATTTACGAATTAGCAGCTTTATTGCATACACAAACGCTGATTTACATTCCATCTCCAGAAGAAATCCTGTTCACACGGAAATTAACCTTTATGGCCTAATTCTGATTTTAGTTGTTATTCTTTCACTTCGCCAAATTTACGCTATTTCAAGTGAGACCAGCCTTTGTTGCTACAGCTTGAAATCAATGGATATAAACAGAGGGTGGAATAATGCTGACAAGTCCACCCTCTTACTTTAATTCAGTTCTTTAAAGTCAATGATTTATATATTGTCTACCTTGGCAAGAACATCTTCTTGGTCTGTTTTAACTCCAAATCTGGGAATACTGGAATTAGTTAGGCTGGAGCTGTGCATCAGTTTTTTGACCCCACTGATCTGGGACATTGGCCTCTTCTTTTTCTCTTTCTCTTTCTGTGTCGGAGAAGGGATTTCAACTTCATGTTGTTTGTCTTCAGAAGAATGAGAAAAAAGAGAATAATTTTTAAAAGAATTACAAATATTTTTGTCCATTCCACTGTTGAGCTGAATCTTAGGGATACTGTAATTCTTAACAAAACTTCTTTTATTTTTATGTTTGGAGATTTCACAACAGATACTTCATATGATAATCATAGACCTATACCTCAGTATAAGCAGATCTCTATTTCACAAATTGCCTCATTATCCCTGAACTGGCTTCAAATGTGACTTGCAACTCTCTGATTTCCACTTCTCCTGCACCCCTGGCACTGTAGAGAGGGTCGGTCCTTTCATTATAAAAATGTTATTACAACTGAACAGAAATCTAAACTTTCTGTTTGCAAGAAAATTTAACATTTTTTCTTTTCCAGGAATAACACTCCCTGAAATTGTATTTCAAAAACAATCAAAACAGTATCTCATGTAAACCTTTACAGAAGATTTTCAGGACTTGAAGCACCCAAGACTTAAGGTCCTGTTTGTGTTAAGACTCTGTACAACTCAGAAATCCTTTTGCCAGCCACATCTACAAGTGCTTTGGGTGTGGAGGCAGTTCACATCAGCAATGCAGTGGACCTCTGCACCTCCAAGCCAGATTAATAAGCCAAAACGACTGTTTTGCTAAACCCCAACATTTTGCTGCAGGCTTTCACCTCCATAGCAGTATCAGTGGCATCACTTCATATATCTCATCAATGCATGTGCCAGCAAAACTTTAGACAAGGATTAAACTGAGAGTAAAAGTATATTTAGGCCGTTGCCAGCTGATGGCTGCAAAAACAGTATGGGGGTGTGGAATCACTGAAGACATCTGTGGTCCCCAAAGAAACCTAAGCTGTGGCAACAAACGAGTCTCCTGCTACAATTGCTAGGAATTAGAATTAATTTTTGTTCTTTTTATTCATACTGTATTTCAACATAGAGTTTTAATGACTCCCTACAAATTATCTCTTTTTTGCTGAAATGTACCTGCACCTTTTCTATTCCTCAAGGAGTATTCCAGCAAACCCATGAAAATCCAGAACAGACGTTTCTAACGTTGGAGCTTAACAAAAGCTACCATTTAAAAAACACCTTAGAACACAATAAATAAATAATAAGAACATTTCAGCTCTTTAAAATGTATGCCTATTTTTCCCTTCCTGCAATGGCCATTTTCAGTACAGACACTGGAACCAGACACGGGCAGCAAGTCCATTTCTAATTCCCAGATTGTTATTGTGTTTGCTTGTTCACTTTTTATCTTTATTCTGTTTCTGCTTTTGAATTACCCTTTAGCAGCTGCATTTTACTGGACACCTCAAATTCCAAACAAATCACAGCAAAGAAGAGACTGTGGAAATGTCACTGAGCTTTAGCCTGCGGCACCAAGTTCCCTGATTGCCCCCACCACACTTCACCATTCTCCTCATACGGACAATCAAGAAAAGGGGGAGGAGGAGCGCTGCAGCTCTTGACTGGTGCAAACTGACAGCCGATGAGGAGCAGTAATTCATGTTCATCCTTTGATGTTTATGGTTTTGGTCATACGCACAAAGTTTAGACCCATCAAAGGGAGGTTCGTTAAGCCGAGCTGTCAGACTAACTCAAGTGAAAGGAAGTGTCTGTCTGAAGGATTTCAGGTCTCCTGAGGAATTCCTCGGGACTGCCTCTGCTTTTGTAACTATAAGCACACAGGGCAAAGGATCCTGCACCCATACAGACATCCAGAAAAGACAGCTTGCCATTTTGACCCTTGTGCTATGCTCATTGGCCACTTCTTACATTTTTGTTCCTAGAAAACCAGGTTAATGACACTGGAAAATAAAAACCTTGCATATTATTATTACATCCATGTATTATATATAATATTATTACATAATTACTTGATGCAGAAGCCTTAATTCTTACACCAGGAATATATTTGTTGTCATTACGAGTAACTTAATGAATGTCATATAGCCCTACTTGGGAAAACAGTCTTTTTTTTTTGAAGAATAAGAAGAGCAGAAAAACCTGCTTTCTCATGACATCTTCCTAACTTTCAAATGTGAGAAAGTCTGCAGATATTCAGGAGATAACTATGTATTAAAAAAAGTTAACTAACTAGATTAAGATTTTCTATAAAGAGACTATTTTCCCTCTTCACATTGTTGCTCAGAACCTACATACTTAAGACTGCCTATTTTGAAAATATTTAAGTAATAATTATGTAGCTGAGATGTTTGCTCCATTGTACTCCTCTTGTACCTGCAATTTTAAGTATCCTAGCTTTCCATGCAGCCACAAAACAATATCCATGGCTCAGTAACTTAGAAGCGATTGCCTTTCCAGCCCTCCTTCTGCTCAAGACTGAGGTCTCATGTGGAAGGCTGACAGATGCATTTCCTTACCCTGTCAAAACAAGCCTGAAGTTTTCAGGTAAAAGCAAGCAGAAACTGGTATCAGTCTTTCAGCCTAAGCAGGTCATCTTCTCAGACAACTGTACACTGGGACTTCCAGTTCAGAGTTCCTGAAGCTGCGCAATAATACTGCTTCATCCATGACAAAAGACTCATACCTTTTTATTGTCTGAAACCCTGCTGTGCTGCAGCGCTCAGGCATGCTACTGCAATCATGGGCAAACTGAGCAGACACCTAAGCAATCCGTTCATGATACAGTGACATGCAGGATAAAACGTACTTAAAAAACCCCACTTCTTTCAAAAAAACCACAAAAAGTACTAGCTACAGTATCTCACACAAATACAACAAGATGTAGCTTAGTATGTGTGACTGGCACTTTTTAAAGGACTTGTTATTCTAATTTAGACATTTTCAGCTGTGCCCCCCCCTTATACGCACAACCAATGGTGTTTCAAAACATGTTTGAGATTGGTATATCATCTTTATCTTCAAAATCAACAGTATGGAGCCAAGTTTTATTCATTTTCACCAGTTTTAGCAAAAACCTAAACAGTTCTACAAAGCCACAGAGAAGGAACCATACCCTTTGTAATATTGTGTCAGACTTTTTTTAATGCTTGCATCCCACCATGCAAGCTCCTGAGCTTGCACAAATGCTCCTGGCAGCAGTCTGTTCAGGTGTTGACTTAATCATACTTATCCATCTGCTCAGGTGCAGGCAGGGAAAACCAAACCACCAGAACTGTGTGGTATGAGATTTTATGAGGTTACTTCCAGCACACTGAAACCTCTTTGCAGTAGCTTTCATAAGGGAAACAGAGTGGAAGAATTCTTCTTAATATAAGATTAATTCATTAAATATTAATTTCTTATTATAGTAGCAATATGGTAGCTGTAATGTTACATGAAAATATGTATATGAATATTTACCTGTAATTACATATATAGGGAAACCACATACACCGACTAAATGAGCTGTGAGGAAATGGATCTAACGTGATCTCTCTGCTCAAATGCTGAACAATGAGATACTAAATGTACAGCTTCTGAAAACAGACATTAGTATGGAAAACTACTTGTTTTTAAGCTCTATCACAGCACAGAGAGAGAAAAAAACCCCAATAGGCAAGAAAGTTAACTCCCATAATAGTCTTACCTAAGAATGTGTTTGATATATATTCCGAGACCTGATTGCCTGACCTGCTCATTTCAGATAGGTGGGTTAGCTCCCGGTTGAGCATTCTTTTAAACTGGAAAACAAAACAAAAAAGCATGAAGTTAGTGATCAGATGAATTTTAGTTAGGATGTGAAAATGCAGTCAATTTATAATTGGGGAAAGGACACGACATTAAGAATATATACTAAACTAAGATAACTATGAAAGCAAAAATTACATGTACCATTGCTCTACCCTAGTAACTTATTTGTGGGTTGGACAACATAATTCTTAACCTCCTAAAATACTCCACAGTGATAGAATTACTAAGGCACAGGGTCCTGCTAGTAACTGAAAACTGTAAGACATACGTATACACACAAATAATTAGTATTACTGTCTTTTCAATTTTTTTATTTTATTTGGAGAGAAAATACAAATATATTTATACAGGAGCCCTTCTCTACTAGGGTTTTCTTATATTTGTAAATTAATATATTTGTGCATTTTTTGCAATTCATTTTGTAGGACTTCAAGTTTATCTTACCTCTCATTGTTAACGTACTCAAATATATTTGACACCACTGGTTTAACAGTCAAAATATCTTACTGATTTCCTACACACCAATATGAACAGAGGTAGGTTTTGTTCTCTTTGGCTTAAAATTACTATACTGAATCAGGCCCATGACTTGACGCAGAAAAACGTTTAGTATCTTTATCAAACACCGGAACAGAAAATACCCATCTGTGGAAACACCTTCCTTTTCCCTCTAGGTTAGCAATTCACTCTAGGCACTCTACAGGATAGAAGTGGGTATTAACATTATACAAAATGTGTAATTGATTAGGTACTCATCATTGAGCCTTTCTTGGTTCCTTCTAGACTCCAGGGTTAAATGGTATCCTGTTGCATTGTGTTGGACAGGGTAATTGCATAATACACCTCTAGCTATCTTACATGCATTTTCATTGACTATAGCTCTGCCCTGATATTATCAACAAATAGAAGTCAGCAATATTTATTAGCAATTGAAACAACTCTTACACATGTAAATTAGGATCCGTCACTACTGAATTTTGCCTCCCATTGTGCCATCCTTTCATTTTGTTGTTAGATTTCTTAGACATCTTTTCTCTTCACAAAGCCAAACTACTTTTGCCATTTTCAGAATCACCTTTCACCTTGTTCACCCTTATTACATCAAGCAACAGCTGCCCTTAGCATACGTCCCTGTAAACATTGCTCTATGTTGAAAAATGGTAATTCATTATTCTATATGAGACAAAGCACTAGACTAAACATTAACCACCTCCTTTCCATCCCACTGGAATCATCAAAGCCCTTTCTTCAAAGAGGCCTTGTATAGTGAAAGGTGTTATTTTCTTCACAGGTGACTTACTATACTGCTCACAGTGTGCCAAATAAAAATTACCTTTAATATAACACTAACTATTAGCCACTGCCTTTTCTTGCCATTTTGACACGTCACGAGCTCAGGAAGTTCCTGCTACAAAGACTGAATCCTACTTTAGTCACAAGCCAAAGGCTCAGCTTTGATCTCAGACGTAGCCATGTGCTAGCAAGTGCTCAACACATTTCTGACAATTAAAACCATATTGCAAATACAGTTACACATACTATGAACTACAGGTCTATACATTCTGCTTTAACCCAGTATCAATCTCTATAGTGAGGTGTGATGTTTGTCACCAATGTCAAATGTTAAAAAAAGAAGTTCACCGAGCAGTAAAGTGACTGGTCCAAAAATCCCAAGAGTATTTTTTAAAGCGTGCGCACACACACACGCACGCACGCACACACACACACTTTTAAGTCATGCTTGCATGCTTTTCTTCTGTACCCATGAAGGTGAGAAACTGAATTATTTCAGGCAAAACCTGAAGACGTCACAGAATGGCTTGTCTCCAGATGGTATCCAGAAACTACAGCTTTAAAATAAATACCGTGTACAGGAATCTTAATAAAATGTCAGAAGTTGCCAAAATCACATTAATTTCCAGGCTTGTCATCAGCATATCCATTACCAGTCCAACATTCTCTCTTCCTTAATTTAATCCAGCTAGTTTACTGGCTCCCACCTAAATAGGTCCTCATCTGTCTGGTTGTTTCCTAGTAAACTCTTTTAGATTATGCCCAAATTGTGATGCTGTCTTTGCTGCAGAGCAACACTACTGGGTCACATTCTGCACTTTAGAAAAAGACCATTTAGCCACCGCTGGTACATACTCTGCAGGAGCTCTCCTTAAAAATTTCCCAGCTTTGAAAGAAGAATGAATTGGTGTTTGCACTACACTTTTTCTGCAGCTACCTGAGACAACAAATAGGAAAAACTCTTTTTTTTAGTCCAAATCATAAATTTAATTGCAGAGAGCAGGCAAGGAGAAGGTTTGTTACTGCATACTGGGAATCATCTTGTGTATGATGGTGTATGTTCTTTAAGATTTTCCAACTAAATATTTATTGTATGGATGTCCACAACAAATGGTAGGTGGATGAGAGTCTTTTCTAAAGTTATGTTCCCCACTAGTCCAATGCAAAGCATTGTCTTCCCATGTCTCATCACCCCATAAGTCACTAGAACATAAAAGCTCAACCATCAGCATGGAACCTGCAGAACAGTCTGTTGCCACTGAACACAGGTGTACAGCAAAACAAGTCCCCCAACTTCTGCAAGGCCCTCCAAGACAACAGTGAATTCAATGGGAGAAGCCTTTGGCTTTGAAGAACTGTAGCAGCCTGGTTTTCTTATACTCTTTCACATGTTGCTGACACCACAGCAACAAGACTTTAATTGACATTTATATTGAAAACATCTGGGCTAAGCAGTTTAGAGAACTGTTTTGATTTTCTAATTACATGACAAAGTCTTACAATCGTCATCCACATTGAAGCAGATGAAGTTTAAGACCATATGCCGACAGCAGTTTCGGATGCAAAACAATAATGCTCTTTGAGAACATAAAAAAACCCTGAGAGAGATGAATAGTTATCAAGATGTTCAGACATTTTTTGTTGACTATACCCTGTTTCAGTATATCTGTATGTTACTTAAACCTCTGATGTTTAATGATTTGTCCTTTGTGGAAAAAACTCTTCCCCCCAAAAAACACCAAACCAAACCCCAAAACTACCCCCAAGCCCCTACTTTTCCCTGATTTTACCTATTTCTCAAACACTTCATTTGGGCCCAAGTGCACCCATACATAGTTGCTGCTTCAAAGAGCATCAACTTCACACATATTTATAAATCCTCGCACCATTACTTTATAATGAAACTCTGCCTAACTCTCACAGGGCTCACACAAGTTCTTACTGCAAATCAGAGAATTTTCTGTTACATCTGTGAGTTAACACTGTTCCAATCATCCAGCAGACGACTCTTAAGTGCTTGTCACCTGGCTAGACTGTCCATACTCTCATTATTTTAAAAATCTGAATGCCATATACTTTCATAGCTGAAGAAAATAAATGGTAACACGTCAAAACTCTTGTTATTAATAATAATTAACACTGTACACTTTAATTACGATACTGTCAGCTCAGGTTGGGGAGGAAGCAAGAGGATTTTGGCAGATCTATGCAGATATAGTATTCTTCTTCAGAATGATTCTCCCATGTTTAGAGGGAGAACCTTAACATGGTTCCCATGTTAAGACTAGGCATTGTTAGACTGGAAAAATTGCACATATATATCCCTTTGGCATATCACAGGCTTTGACTGTAATCTAGGAAATTCCCTCTGGAAATGGACAGGGTATAAAATGTCCATTAAGCCAATTATACAGTTCTTCACTGCTGAATAATGATGTCACAGCAACAAAGCAGTGAAGTTATTTTCTGAAAAAAATCCTAAAAATGTTTCTTTAAGCAAAATTTTTTAATTTCATTTGTTTCTATTGATTTTAATGTTTTTATTTTACTCACAGCATGGCGGGAGGGGGGAAGGGAACCCACAACACAAACACAGACACAATATTCAAATAACAGTAAAAATCTCCCAAAGTGACAAAAGTACATGTGCACTTTTACCTCCTTTTAAAAACCATGGAAATCTGATAGAAGGAGAACTCTAATACATGACAATAAATGTGCATACGTTTATGAGACAAGAACAGTTTCTTCAACAGTCGTCACCCCCAAAGAACTGGTAACAAATGAGGAATTGAGCTAGGTAGTTTAGGTCCTTCCGGGCTGAAGCCCAATGTGTGCACATCTCTGCATATATATTACTGCTGTCAAACTAGGAGAAACGTGTTTTTCAGGGAAAAAACAGAATACTTTTCTGATGTCAGCAAAGGTTCACAGAGAACTTTAGACAAACTTCTGCAGTAAACATGCTCCCAGATGGCAACCACAGCACTGATACAATTTTGGGAAGACTTTGCATCTATACTAGAACTTCAAGCTGAACTCCACTCTGAACTCCAAAGGCGTGGGGAAGACCCAACTAGAGTCAATTAATGGCACGAACGAGTTTGGGCTGCATGTTTAATATGTATGGGGTTTATTGATTATACTTTAGAATGTTTTACAATTTTTGCCTAAAATTATTGAGTAAACTCAATAACAAAAAGCTTAAGTGAATATGCAGCCTGCAGTTACTTGTGTTGGGAGAGGAAGCATGCAGAACCACACCCTGGTGTAGATGGTCTGTCCTGGTAGGGTCTCTTCCACCCAGGCTTTCTGTTCCTGAGTGGGTGATCTGCTGCATCCCAAGGACTGTAAAGAGGCTGTCTCCACCACAACCTCTGGCACCAGCACAGAAGGTGAAGCTAGGGCCAGAAGGTCGACGGACCGAAAGGCCCCATCCTGCCCGTCCTTCAGCTTGAACGTTAATCAAACTCCAAGCGCGGTGGAGGCTGGAACCAAAATGCTCAAGAGCACCTGGAGCCTTTCATTGCACTGGCTCCTAAGCCCACATGGCAACAGATCCCAGTTTCAACCTTTCTGCTGCCTCTTCCCTAGGTAACATTTCTAAAAGCTTACATGAATAGAACACATCCACAGAACATGCATTCAATACTTGGAACATTAAACTTACATAACTATTTTGTTTCTGGTATTTCTACCAATGTTATTTTAAAAAGATGTTTGTAACTCAAGAAAGAATAAACTGTATTACTTTACTGGATTTGAAAAGCCTTGTATTCTACAGAAACCAGGCAAGGAACTTAAAATAGGCCAGCCTTACAAATTAATGTAAGGCTTCTGTTTATATTGCTTATCAATGCAAAACTAACTTTGATTTTAGCAGCATACTTAATACATAAACAGAATTCTTGATAACTAAAGATTTGGGTTGGAAGCCCATGTGTTTAATACCAAGGTCAGCCACCGGTTTTTATACATAAGCTATAGTGAGGTACATATCTCTAAGCCTGGCGTTGTGATAGTGGTGTTCATTGTTTCAAGGCAAGATACCCAGTGAAAGCCAAGGGTAAATACTCCACATGACAACCATTCTCCAAAATATAATTAACAGAAGATAATGAGGTACAGCCTGAAGCATACAGAAATTACAGAAATGTATGTATAGTAAGGGATGTAAAAATATAGAATGATCTGTGAGATGAACGTTTCATTCTTCCTTAGAATTTAATGAATACCCTAAATCATTGTTTTGAATGTCATAAAAATCAGACTGTCTTTGCCTCTGTCGACATTTTTCCTGTAATGTGTATACTGCAAACTCAAAAAGCACTGTACTAAAATTGTGTTCAAGTACTATTTAGCTTCTTAACTAAAATCATTGTCTATAGACAGTATAGGGCACTGTCTATATAAAGAACATTTTTTTTCCATGTGTAATCAACTACAGCTACCATGCTCTCTGCTGAACTTCAATTGGCAAAACCTATCAATTCTAAAGGCTAAACAGTAAGAGTGAATATTTTTTTTTTTTTTAAGATTGCATTGAATTTTTCTAATTTAGCAAGTAGGAACGTGCCAGCAGCTGCCTGGAAATGCAGGAAATAATTCCAAGTAAATTACAATAAATACCTCACTTTTAGCTGAATGGAAAGTAATTTCATCTCATTTTTTGGGAAACGAGAAAGGAATCCACCTAGCTAGCATAATGGGATCCAATTTCTTCACAGATGACTGATCAAAATCCTTGAGAATATACTGTAATGATTCTGCATTAGCAGAGAATGGTCACAATGACCTAATCGGACACAATGACCTAATGAGGGGTTTACATTTCTATCTAAAAAAATAACCTATGATAAAAGCAGGTATTAATACAAGCAAGCATAAGATTCAATCACGTGTAAATATGATGCTTGTATTTTTAGTCATTTAATTCAACCCTTGTATTATTTAGTTGAGGAGAAATCAAAATTCTCTTTAAGACAGGATGATTTGGAACAGTCATTGTATATCACGCATAGGATGATGTTTCTTTTTCCTTTTTTACACACTTGATAACAATTATAAAGGCAACATCATTTTTTTAAGCACAAACACACAGGGCTAAAACAAAGCCCAAACGTGGGTTTGTATTAAGTGAATTTCAGTTCTGTATGTTGACAGGCATACTGATTTAATTCCTTGGTGCAAAACTTTTCCATAAAAGAGATAAAAGCTTATTTAATTCCATTTTCTAGCAGTATTGCAGTTTCAAGCTAGTTCAAAGCTGCTCTACATAATAATGTAGATCAATATTAGACAATGACAATTTCCAGTGTTTTAATCAGTAAGCTGTCACACACACACAGAGGCTACCAAAAATGCTGCTGGAACACAGTGTTGATAATTTCACATTTCTTCAGATATTAAAACCAGTATGAGTCATGCATTCACCCATTATCCTCAGCCTCTACTCATGCTCTCTCCTATTGCATGGTATCTCAGCTTTGAGATTGTTTTTTTCTGTAAACCTTTTAAAGTCTAGAAATGCAGTTTAGTAGCAATCTTTTTTTTAGAAGAACACAAAACTCATCTGAGTTTCCTTAGCTTTAGACTTGGTCTGATTATCCAGGGAAGCAACATTATTTTAGAAGTCCCAGCACAGTTTCTAAGAAAGACTGTATACTGTGCAGTTCATTCTCATTGCTGAACAAAGGGTTGTTTTTCTGATTTTTTACTTTGTATTCCTATTACTCATAGCCACAAATACTCATGCTATCCAGTGATCATGCAATCATGCACCGCAAATCAAGGTTCTTAAAAGGTAAAATAAAATCCTACCTTTATGTAGCCCCAAGAAACTGAGAGTAAATAGTTTGCCTCAGGCATTTTTGATTTTTTTTTTTTTTTCTATACTGCCAATCCAAGCTAATCAGTTCTTTGCTATTTGATACTGCAAAAGACTTCCACGAAGAAATATTCCTTCTTTTCCCTCTTAATTCTTTTTGCTGATCTTCAGGTTCTCAGCAAGTGTGTGCACAGGAGGCATACTGAAATGAAATCCATCCGCGTGGTCTTCCGATTGTATAAATGCCATTTGTAAAACTCCAAGCATTCAGAGGCAACGTTGAAGGGACATATTGTACGAGCTGAAGAAATATCTGAAGAGCTAGGGATATGCATATTTCCTGAACACCAGGACTTAATGAATAATGTATGTCAAGATGCTCAGCTGCTTGAAAGACTTGCTCTATCAACAGCTACCAAATAAGGACCTGAAGGGGAAGCCACAAACAGTGCCAGTAATCCCTCCCATAGAGCCTAACTAGCAGCCAATAGTATGCCACCCTAAAAGATATATATCCGAGGGGCTGGTGACACAATGCACAGTAATTTCCCATTGGTCAGCGCCAGGGACTCCCCTGGGTATAGGGTATTTCTTTTTTTTTCTTCTCCTTTTTTTTTTTTCTTTTTTTTTTTTTTTTTTTTTTAAGGCAAGTACCATTTAATAATGGCATCCCTGCCTGCAAGCTTTCACATGCCATTCAAAAATAATTGAGTTAAGGTCGCTTCATTTCAGCAGCATTTACCAGCTCTTTTCAATGGAGGTGCCATCCAAGCAGTTAAAATTAGTATTGCATATATTCATGTGAATTGCCTAGCGGTTTTAATTTTTCATATGGAAGGGAAGTATATTTTGAGGTTTTTGTGAAGAAAAAACAACAGAAATAGAGATTTCGGGTTTCTTGAGCAGATTGTGATGTACTATAACAATGAAAATGTTTTTGGCTTTTATACCATCTAGATTAAAAACTGATCTACTTAGACCACTGGGCCAAGTCTGCCAGCTTCTACTGCTTTTTTATTATAAAAGTATTTGTTCTTATGATAAAGCAAGTCATGTGTTTTCCAATTCCCAGTAAACATTAAGTTTCCATGGAGAAGTCAGAAATGAGATAATAAGAGTCCTCAAATTCTCACTGTATTTATTCAACTTGTGCTCCTTCTGCCTTGGCAGATTAGTATAATCAATTACAGCTACACACCGTAGAAAAAAAAGGGATTAATTGAAAGTGGAGTGTGCCAGTGAGCTGACTCAGAGCATTAAATAAAATAACCCACCATCTGCCATTCAGAGAACCAAAACTTAAAAGGAAGAATGCATTATCTTGCACCACTCTGTGCAAGGCCAATGCACAACTGCAGCAAATATCTGAGTCTTTGTTGTATCAAAAGAAGGGAGAGTTTCCCAATATGACAATGGGCAAATGTCTAAGGACAAGCTGAATGAGGTGCTGCGTTCAGCCTAAGCCCACACTGCTTTTTCACTGGAAGACGCTGACTGACAGCAACCATAAGGGAGGTTGTGGCTGAAGTGGTTTCTACTTCTCTGTGACGCTACACAGCAATGTCAGCAATACTAAGTGCTTGAGAAAGAACTGAACCTGCAAAAATCGATAGGGCAAAATATGATATTGACAAATTTCTTCCTTACAGGAGAGAAAGGTACAGCAATGTGACAGCTAGATACAGTCAACAGATCATCCAGCATTTAGATATTTTCATATGGAAAGAATATTGTCTTCCTTAAAATAGGTAATATAAAAAAAACATGAATGAGCACATTACTGATGCATATTCTGTATAACACGCAGTAATATCTGTCCTGGATCTATGGAAGTAGATGAATATAAAACAATTAAGTGCTGAAAACACCTGGAAAAAAAGTATTTCTGGAAAATACTTCTCCTGATTCTTCCACCTCAGCTTTGTAATGCTGAATATAAAGCTTATCTACCTCTGCGTTGCATTGTTTTCTCATCACCCACAAGAGAGCACTGCTGCCACCTACCCAGCATCAACACCGAGAACTGAAAATACGCTGCCTCTCTTCAGAAGGCAATTTCAATCATGACTTAGAAAATGGTAAAATAACAGCCATTATACTTCTGGCTACTTAAGAAGTGAAGCATGTAGGTATGAAAGTTCAGCTGCAATAAGTAAGTATGAACAGACATGGGAAAGCCAAGTTTTTAAAACACTTCTCTTTGTTACTTTAAAGGCTGGTTCCTCCTTAAATCTTATTAACAACTGTCCCCAAATGCACAGAACTTGTTTCAGATAAGGAATATTTAAAATAGCTGCTATGTAAATTACACTACTTGTTTAGCATGTATTTAAAAAAAAAAAAAAACTTCCTTGAATTTTTCTATTCCCCACCAACATATGAGACCAAGACACATCAGTAAGAGTTACTGAATTATAGTTTATAGAATTTATTGAAGGATGGCTTTATAAAGCTATTAGCTAAATAATTCTGATGTAAAACCCTGAAAAAAATGTTCTCCGATGTACATATACGTTACAACAATTTATTTGTTCTGTATATATATATATAACATATATATATATTAACTATACTGATAATAGGAAATTACTCCTGATATTGACAGCTTATTACTAATTTGTATGATTTTTCTGAGACCCACACCCTCAACCGTATAAAACTACCAATTGCTGTGTACTAGTACGCAGTACAACTTCTAGTTGTACCAGTACAACTTCACCGACTCCGAAAGCATGCCTTCTGACTTTGGCTACATGTAAAAGTATGACCTTAGAAATTTATAGTTGAGAAATTTACACAAGCACTGATTTACAGTAATTGTTTTAACTAATTTTCATCTGCAATTCCCAGGTTGGAATGAGTGAACAATTCGCTTTAGAGGAGGTTATGGTGGATAGATGACTGCACATCAAATAGCTACCACACACAAGTAAATACCTAGAGCAATTCAAGAAAAACAGAAGTTAAAGATAAGTGGAAATCCAGCAACATGAAACGGAAATTCTTGTTTCCATACTCACATACATCGATGAAGATAAAAACGTGAGGCAAGAAGGGAATGACATTTTTCTATGATGGTTCCAATCAAGCAAAGAATATGGAAATAAGAAAGGTATAATTTAAAATTACAGTAACTGAGTAATAAAATCATTCAGAAAAAAGGAAGTTTTTAATGAGCACTGTTGTGTGTTTTGAAAGAATAAAGACAATGACCTTGAAAGGCGGAAAGACGATGAAGTCCCTTAATACCCACAGGAAATGTTAGCCATTACTTAATCAAACAAGCCTGGACAACTTTCTCTACAGGAGTCGTAAAAAGAGGTGGCAGAGATCCCAGGAGCTGTGATGCTCAGCTTTAGTAAAATTTTGAAAGACTGCAGAAATGTTAATTTTGTGCCAGTTAAAATTTGCAAGCAGGATGGCTGGGTAACTTCAGGCCACTTCACAAAACATCAATCCTGGGTAAAATAATGGAAAAGCTGAAATACACACATTATAGGCATTTGCTTGATAAAGAACTAAGACGTAAGAATGTAATTAATGCCAATCAGTATTGTTTTATATCTTTGAACATGTAATATTCTTGGATTGTTGTAGGGCATTTGATTTAGCACTGCATAATATTCTGCAAAAGCACTCCCAATGTTGGCAGAGGACACATCAAATGGGTTAAGAACCCAATTATTGACCCATTTCTCACAACAATCAACAGGCTGTCTTTATGGAATGGGACAGTTTTAAGTCAGGCTCTGCAAGACCTGAGACTATGTTATGGTATTCAATTTCTTCACTGGTGATCTGGAATTAAGTTGCTACTATGAAAACTTCCACAGTGTGAAGACTTCCAGAGAACAAAAAAATTGTGGGGGGAAAAGGGGGGGAGATAAACTATGAGGATGTGGAAGTCACCAACAGAAGCCTCACTTGTTTAGCATATTGACACCATTCTTGTAAACTACATTTCAAGGAATTTAACCGCAAAGATAGCCGGCAATAAGGAACACAGTCCATGAGTACAAAATGGTGGACTAAAACGAAGAAAGAAAAAACCGTGAAGAGTTTATAAAGTCACAAGAGGATATCTCGTAGTGATACTGTGACCTGCCCTAAATCCGCATCTTTTGAGATGCTAAATAAAAAGATATAGACTTTAAACACACCGTTCTCTGGTGATGGAATAGTGCAAACAGCTCTAGTGTCTCTGTTTTCCTAAATGCTGTCATGTACATTTCCTACCTGTGTAGGAAAAAAAAATGAAAACATTATTCAGGGGATATAGGAAATGCTTTATAATAAAAAACTCAGGCTGTTTACGTTAAAAAGATATACGGCTACCATGTAGAACCATGACAAGAGGAAATACAGTGTACCAGACACAGTTCACTAGCACCAAGGAGGCATCAAGAAGCAATGGAAGGCAGCTGAAACTGACTCAAACCAACTGAGCTGAAACCACCTCCAACTATGAACAAGATAGTGGATTAACAATGAGAATTATTAAATCAGCATACACCAGCAGTGAAGCGGTAGCTTCTCTGGTGTTCGGTCTCTTCAAATCAGGAAAAGCAGTCTTTTTGGAAGATGTTTTAGCCAAATGCAAGTCATATATTAGTCAAGCACAAGTCGGTGAGTTCAATACTTTTACAGTTATGCGCAAATTAGACATCTGAGAGACACAGGAGACCCAGTAATCCATCTGGCCCCAAGAGTCTATAACAACTCAATCTATTGCAGATGCTAATGCTAGAAATTCTGCCTTCTAAATAACTTGTATCATGAAGGCTCTTTACGTATCTTCTACAAATATGCTTTGCTTGAAAGCAACTTCAAGAATTTAAAAGCTATGCATTTGTGATGAAAGCAGGATTGCACCGAGTTACCTCAAATACTGTTCTTATAATGGAAGCAGTAATCTCTACCTCTGTGAAAACTTCTGGAGCTGTCAGCACTCATAAACTATTACTTGGTTCTCTATAACATAACCTAAATTTTATTGTCCCTCAAAAAGAATGTGAAGAATTTCATTATTAGGTTGTGCTTGTTTTTAATCATTCCAAGTGCTGGCAAAGGCA